ACCTCTGTCTTACTTTTTCCTCTCCTGTGTTTCTAACCAAACACATGCAACAGCTGGATGCTGCTGAATCAGTCTCTTGGGCAGGAAGTTACATTTCCTGGCAAGCTGCTCTTGAAATGTGGACAGTCAGTTAGAAAAACATGATTACAGGATGACAATCACACACACACACACACACACATCCACACAAACATGTCCACTCACACTCCTTACTGTGCACACTGTGTTAAATATCTGTGTGTATAGCTTGGTAAATGACAGCTTCCCAAACTGATACTGAGCATGTAAACAAACTCCGCTGGTGTTTATAACACTGACCAGCCTACGCGCACACTTACATGGATGTGAATACACCCACCCACAAGTGTCCTCACATGCCTCACTGACACATATTTCAGAAAAAGAGGATTCTCACACACACACACACACACACAGTTAGTTTTTTCGAGGCCTGCTCTGATTTATCACTAGCTAAATATTTTTTTTCTGTTGCACATATTTTAGAGGCAAGGTAGCAGAGGATGCACAGAGGTACACTGCCAGCTTCCAGCTCAAAATCAACAAGCCAAAGCTCCGAGTCAAAATCTGTACAGGAAAAGTGTGGGTTTGTTTTTAAAGTGTCTTGAACATCTTGAGGGGAAAAAAACAAGATTACAAAATATTAACCAAATGCAAGTAGGTGCTTTATTTTTCCATGCTAAATCTATAAATAGAGAAATATCTTAGTCCGGATGATGTTTTCAGTTGAGGGTAAGAACAACCCTCAAGTTTAAGTTTTCTGAGATTAGATTGTTGTGTTTGTTTGGCCTATGCATTAAAAAGCACAAGTAGAAAGTAATGAACTTGAGTCCTTATGTTTGTGGCAACCTGTTGCCTTTTTCCACTTTTCTCTCTCCCATCCTCTCTGACTTTCTTTGGCTCTTCCTCCCATCTCCTTCTTCCACCTAACATAGTTATTTTTTCAACTTGACCTTCACCAGGAAGCATTAAATCTCTTGTCACACTCTCTAATCCTCATTTGTTATCCCATGTGTAATATACCACTGTTTTCTGTCTGTGTGGGTGCATGTGCCGTCATTGGCTGTCACAGCAATAGGCCCGAGGGGCCTCCTGGGGGAGCGGGTCTTTGCGGATGAGAACATTCCCCCAGAGAGTTAGACTATATATATATATCTTAACTTTCTCTCTGTATATGAACTAACTCACTGCACACGCACACAAACACAGACACACATACACATCCTGAGGCACAATTTCAGTGTTGTTATTGAGATCACACAGCGAGAACAGACCTCTGGTATGCCACACTCATACTAAACACAAGAGAGAGAGACAGATTAGTGTGGGTACTGACTTCTGCCCCATGAGGAACAACAGTTGCCTAATAAAGAGGAGTTACTGAGGGGCAGGGATAGCTCAGTAGGTAGAGTGGTGGCCCCATGATCGGAAGGTCGGGGGTTCGATTCCCCTGAACAGCTACCCTGAGGTACCCCTGAGCAAGGTACCATCCCCACACACTGCTCCCCGGGCGCCCAATGGCTGCCCACTGCTTCACTGAGTGAATGGTTTAAATGCAGAGAGGAATTTCCCCACGAGGAATAAATAAAGTGCTCTTTCTTTGGGGGGAAAGGAGTTACTGGAATTTTTTAAAATATAACTTCCCTATGAGATACACAGAAACATAAACACACAAAGATGCAAAGATGACAAACACATGCATAAATACATGTGATTAATTGTTCAAAGTGTCAGTTTTAAACACCCCCTGCTCCATTCCCTGTTTTGTAATTTCTGTCTCCATCTATTTCACTCACTGTTTGATCTTTGCAAATGTCTAATAAACTAAATGCAGTTCTGACCCACTTCTTTGCCTCCGTCTGTAATCCTCACATAAATTATTTACTCTAACTCTTTGAATCCACACACACAAGTTACAGAGTCATGTCTTTGAAAAGAGAATCAAACTTATTCTGTATCCACATTTGTTCATCAGCTCTGCGTCAGTCAACTGTTGAACTGTAATGTTCTGGCAAGAGCACAAAGGTGGAGACAAATAGATACTCTGGCAGACAGCAGTGCCCATGTAAAGTCTTGGCTACATTTTAAGTTATCATTTTCTGTGTCAGCAGCAAAGAATGGGACATCATGTATTAATTAAAGCTGAAGTAAACTTTAAACTCTTTTCTCTAATAAGAAAATCTACAGTAACTTATACTGCATGTTTTAAATGTGACATATAGATATGTAAAACACAGCAGGAGATTTCTGCTGATTGTGCCAGAAGCATAAGCATAAGACCATTAGCTTGAGCAAAGCTGGTGTTTTGATGGTCTAGAGCATGGAGAAAAAAAAAGATCCAGTTCGTTGCTGTAAAAAAAGATATACTATGTAAACCAGATGTCTGTAAACAAGCCAAAACACAGGGGAAGAATCC